GAGGGAGGAAATGATTGGACGGGGTGGGGAGGCGAGTCCGAACAGGAGGAAATGGGAGACAGAGGAGGTTGATGGCGGGGAGTCAGCTTTTTAAAAGGGAGGCCACAAATAGTCAAAATTAGAGAGGAATTGAGTAAAAATGAAAACAGTGGGTGTTAAACATTAGAGGTTTTTAAGCGGCAGGACTCTTCTCTTCCATTGCACCTAAACCAGAGATCTGCCTGTTAAAGAAAACAGGTCCCTCCATCTTTCTAATGCGCTCACACTAAATTAGCAGAGCCTCCAACCAGACATCATTAACTGTTCTTAACTCTGCCCATTTGGCTCTGGCATTTACCAAACTAAATGTCATTGTTCCTAATCATCATCTGTAAAGCAAGACACAATGTGTATGCACGGGACAGCATGCACTTGCAGAGGCACTCATGCATACTAATGCCTTAAATTTCACCCCAGTCAAAGTGACAGAACTCTTCCACTTGTCTTGTTCTATATATTCCATCCTTTGTGAGTTACATCTGTTCGTAATACAGCGCTTTCTGAAAGATAGCATCTCAAAGCCCATTCTCTTCTTTTGACAAGACAAAGGGAGAGCTTTCAGCCTATACTGTTGCAGGTACAAAGTGGCAGAGAGATTGGGCAGAGATGGAAAGGCGGAGGGGAATGTTTTGAAGAAGGCCTTTGAAGCAGCAGGCAGCGGTTCTGTGTCGGATAGATTTGGATGCATGCTTACGTTGCAGCCGGTGACTCAGACAGCAGTGAGCCAGGTTTCTAGAGCTGCACTCACCTGGAGAGGCTCAGCAGATCGGTGGTAAGATTCTGCTCACTCTCCGTCTTGCTGGAGGCAAGGTTTCACTGATATGTCTGCTGCTATCAAGCAGACATGCTTTCTGTGATACTAATGCATCAGCGCATATTTTACTTGGCAAACATAGAAGACATCCTGTTATTATGGTTTGTAGAAATGTGAGGCTTTGGTTAAGACACTTTTGGGCCATGCTCTCCAGAGGGAACAACATGAACATTACTTTATTTATTATGTTAATCTCTGTTACTTATATTGGTTTATTTCTTTCATCTTTTACTTTGCACTCATTTTTTAAAAGGGAAATAGTATATAACTAGCTGAACTTATCAGGAGAAGAAATCTTTTACACATTATTCATTCTGATTCATCTAAAGCATGGTCTGTCGGTTTGCAATTTATTCAAACATTCACTGTTCTCTTTGAATGTGGAAATGCATACATATTGTTACCGTCGGACACATAAAGCATGCAGAGCAGGCTTGAAAGGCTGATACACTGCAGCTCTTTTGCTCCCAGGTATTCTCCACTCTGCTGCATTTCCTCCTTTGAAGACAGAAGGAACCTTTAGATGCAAATGTGCTAGTGTGTGCAAACAAACACATAACAGCCTCACACTTCCATGCAGATGTTTTGGTGTTTGAACAGAATTCCAAATTGCGCCATACGATTAACGATAAGCCAGTCGATGCTTTTAACCCTGAAGGGAGACCATTGCAGGCTTCCTAATTGTGTGTGAAGCTGCCAATTGTTTTTTCCTCAGTGTGTGTTTAGTGTCTAACCATCCAGCTGACAAAGACACACTTTGATTTATTGGCAAAACATTTGAGCTAGTTAGCTGTTTGCAGAAATGGACAGAGTTTGTGTATGTGTGTGAGCAGCATATGAAATAAAGGCTGAATATTTTGTGTGGGTGGTTTAGCCCCACACAGAGAGTGTTGAAGATGTTGTTGGCTGCTGGTCACATAACCAATTTGCAACAGTTCAAAGTAAGTTCACTGAGTAGCTATATATCAATGTTGTCTCCAAGAACTTCTGTCTATATATTTGGAAAAGCAATGTTTTGGAGAATACTAATGCTGCCAGGATGTTTGATAAGGAAGAAACAGTATTGATTACCATCATTTGAAAAGTCACTAAATGTTGATATTGAACAAAGCTTTTACTAACTTGGTAATGATTCTCTTGAGGCACTCAAAGCAAACTGGTTAAGGTTAAGGAAATATTGCTATCTCGCGTGAGCGATGAACAAGTCAACAGAGGCTTGAAGCACGAGATATGACGAGTTTGGTTTGACATTTAGCCAAACTCATAATCTTTCACTAACCTTTAGGAGAGAATTTGACATTTTGGGTTTTTTTCTTTTGGGTGAGGGTTAGATGAGAAGATGATTCCATTCACATGTCTGCACCCTGAGAATGCATTCACACCAAATCAGGCATCCCAGCTATGTTTGGTTTTAAAAACATTCTGAGAATGTTACAGTCATTGTTCTAGGAAGGTTTTCAGCGGGAAGTTTTTGTTTGGTTCCCAGAACGTTCTTCTGAAAGGTAGGATAATGTTCCCTAAAAACATTCTTAAAATGTTTGGTGATAACATTGTTAGAACATTATGCCCTCCTATTCTTAAAACGTTTTCAGCGGGAAGTTTTATTTTGTTTTTCCAGAATGTTCTTCTGAAAGGTAGGATAACGTTCTTTAATAACCTTCCTAAAATGTTTTTGATAACATTGTTAGAACATTATGCCCTACTGTTATTAAAACGTTAAGAGCGGGCACTAACCCACTAACAGGGGTTTCAGGGACGGGCAGTGATAGTCGGTCCGTTCTTCTATATGTCTGTCTTTGGTTTTCTAAGTGTTATTCGATCCATATGACAATAGAGATATGTGCATAAACACCAAAAACACTTGGGGTATAATGTTCGAACAATGTTATCACCAAACATTTTAAGAATGTTTTTAGAGAACGTTATCCTACCTTTCAGAAGTACATTCTAGGAACCAAAATAAAAAACAAAAAACAAATGCAACAAGTTTGTTTTTTAAAGCGCACTACAAATAAATCTGATGTTGACCATGACCCTGTTAATATTTCGCATCACAGGAACATTTTATAAAAAATAATAACCTCCTGAAAACATTATCCAAATGTTTCTTTCAAAATGTTCTTCTTTGGTTATCATGTAACATTGAGGGAATGTTCTATGAAAGAACATCTGTAATGTGTTACCTCAACAACGTCCAAAACACATCCTCAGAATGTTGCAGGCAAAACGTTATGTGTTAGTTAACATATCACATTAAAGGAACATTTTATAAAACACTTTGTCATCTCAGGCCTCAATAACATCCTGAAAACATTTTCAGAATGTTGCTTGGAGAATGTTCTTCATTTGTTATTATGTAACATTGAGGGAACGTTTTATAAAGAACATCTTTAATGTGTTACCCCAAGAACGTCCAAAACACATCCTNGCGACCTGTTATGTTCTACACGCCACGATGTAGTGTACACAGCACTATACCCGACTCCGACGACGTCGTGGGATGCCAGTCCGTCACCCGACTCACGGGGACAGATTCATATACGCATAACGACGAGGGGGGACACGTATAGACCATAACACGGAAGTGTAAATCAACCGAGATCAGACTCGGGCATGTGGAGTATTTAATTGGCACAGATGCTGAGTAAGATATGAGCTTATACAGCCAGGATCCTGACATAGGCACATCCACTAACGTTGTCTACCGTTCTGTGGTCTGGCTTCCAGTACCTTATTTTCACCGAACAAAGTAGTTCAGACCAAGAGACAACCACTCTTTACAGCGTAAACTCACAACACAGCTCTAACTCCTCTTCTCTCTGGCTTACGGTGTCGTCCTGGAACAATCGTAGACAAATCGATCAACGCTGATTGCTGTATGCCTCGGACAAACAAGGTGTTTATTCGACTCCTCGTCGAAGGAGAGTCTGACGTGTCCGAGTCCACTCGATTTCTGAGAGACTCCACAAAACTACCAATTGAAATCAGATATAGAGTCACCCAGCAGTTTGCCAACCAGTTTATATATAACCTTCTAATAAAGGGACCGTGTCGTACCGGAAACTGGTTCATAAAAACATGTTCTTACTCAATATCAAGCCACGATTATTGTTTTTATTTTAAATTGTATAATGTCAGACTTTTTTTTGCCGTCCACGAGGAAAAGAAATGGGGCTCAGAGCCTCAGGATACTGAAATCTTATATGTATTTTTTAATTCTTTTTTTCCTTCTAATTTGTTATTATTTGGTGCAGGCACGAAACATACTACCAATAGAAATACATTGCTTCTAAAATCGTTCTGTGTCAGAATACTGAAATCTGTATTTTTAAAAATCTGTTTTTCCTTCTAATTTGTTATTATTTACAATGCTTTTAAAATCGTTCTGTGTGACACGAAAAAAATTGGGAAATCGTGTTGGTGAACACGAATCAATAGATTACATTTCGTGACTATAAAACGAAATGCCATCGTGTGGACACTTCAGATCTCTCCATGCTTGATTATGAATGTTTTGGCAGTATTCAGATTGTGTAATTCAATTTAAAAGGAAAGGTTCAGAATACATATTTACATTGGCTACCACTGTGCTTGTAACAGTGTGTTTACCCTAAGAGCAGATTCTCTGGGAAATGGTGGCAACTTTCTGTTACTCACCATAGATTGTAGAGTATATACATTACTTCTTACCAATAACTGAAATGTAATCCCTCTGGAACCATATCTGAGAAGTCACCCTTAGCATTAATTAATTAACTAATCCTTAATCCATGTTTAACTGTTAAAAAGCACAGATACGTATATTAGTCATTATATTCATAATGACTCATACAAAGAGTGTCATAGCAGCCAGGTGACATGTAGACTCATACTGCATGTGAAAATGACAGAACAACTAATACGGTCACATAATAAGCAGTTTTATACTCCTGAAACCTTGTCTGTTCATCCTGTGTTACCACTCAGCACAGTGTTATCCGAGAAATATCAAATTGGCACATTTGTTTTGAAAAAAATAACACGAGAGATGTCCAAATATACACAAACATCCGTGTTGAAATGTAATAAAATCCTCTCTGGTGCCATGTAACGGTTGTAAACATTTTTCTCCGTGCAGACCATGGAAATCAAACAGTGTCTGTAAACCTTAACTCTTTCTGTAATGCATGTTTTTATTGAGATAAACAGGCTTCTTCATTTCCCATACACATCCCTAAAAGTAATACACAGCACAGTTTGGTATTGTCTCCTATTGACTGATGATTACATGGGCACAACCATAATCCATATGTTCCCAGTACAGTATATTATAGTCCTGGAGTCCTGCTAACAGTTAAGCTTCCATTGTTTTTAAAGTTTGAAGTGATGGTAGTGGCATACCACTCAATACAGCTGTTCACAGGGAGCTCCAAAGAAACATTTCTGCAGTTTTAGTATCTACATGTGTCTCAATGGTTACTGACTGATCACTGCTCTTTACAAAGTTCCAGCTCCTGTTTGACACCATGGCCTGTTACAGATTGGGAGTTAAAGGATCATTTATAGATGATGCTGTAATAGCATTATTATGAGTTATAATGATGTTTTAAGTGCACTGTTGTCCGACCAGCAACTGAAGCAGTGTGGGGATAAAGGTAAGGACTGGTGAGGGAGAAGAACTCTGAAGGTGTGTTTGGACTGAGTGAGAAGCACATGTTTAGCCTTGTGCTATTTGTGCAATGTTGAATGCTAGACTATGTGCACATGTTTTTTATTTGCCTCAAAAAGCTATTGTTTATGTATTTATTACCTTTTGGTTGTCTTCATCTCTGTGACTGTTTACATTTTTCGGGTACCTAAACTTGGCATATTGTCAAAAATGTCTCCAAGATGTTTCTGTATTAAGATGTTTTGCAGTTGCGTCACAATGTTATCATGCTCTTCCATTCGACAAGCTGCCTGGATACTGTATGTTGGCCTATGATCAAATCAGACGTGCTTACAAAACAGTGATTGCTTGCTAACCAGATAGCTACATTGGTTTGACGGCTAAAGCTAGTCAAACGATATCGATTCTCTCAAAGATATCCAAGTCAAATGTTGTCATTTGAGAAGTTTCAATATGGCTGCCAGAGGGTATTTGACATCACCTGAAGTCCCCCTGTACATAATGTGTGCCTTTGAATGTTTCTGTGAATCCCTTTATGTGTATTCATCGGTAGAGTGAATTCTCACATGCACATACAGTATGTCACACTGCTATACAGTAAGTGTGTGTTTCAGGGCAAAATGCTTCTTGACTCATCAAGCAGCCAGACTCAAGCAAGCAAGTGTATCAAGACGCTATATTAATGTTGTAAACTGATGCCGTTTCCCATCATGCATCCGCAAAGCCTCAGTTCCTGTTATTACACCAACAATTCTGGTCTATCTGTACCAGTCATGGCTAAAAAAAACTATCTAAAACCATTGAAAGGCATCCATCAAATAACTTTTTCTCCAATTTGATGTCTCTTTATACAATACCTCTTTTTAGAAACATACCATATAGTATTAAACAGGCATTTAAACTCCCTATAAAAGTGGTGTGGCGACAATAGAAATTGTATCTTATTATTTTTCTCCCTTTTAGAAAGACTAGTTTTGTTTTTTAGAAAAAAAGACACTTGTTGAGGTTCCTGGGACTGAGGGGGGAGTAGCAGGATGAATGACCGGGCCATTCAGGAAGGAGCACGACACAAGGACACACACGGTCAGTGTAAAGGCCAGTCATAGCTGTACGCTTCTCTCCTATCACTTATATTATGTGTGTTTTTCTTTTATACACAGTCACTAAAGTATATCCAACGGTCCCTGAAGGAAGAATAATAAAAAAAAGAATCATAATCATAACTACGGCTAAACAGATCCCATAAAAGAAGTGGGTTTAAATTGGCTACATAAAACAATTCACGCTAAATAAAACCCTATGGATTCAGTTCAGTGTTGGAGGAGAAGAGTGTGGAATATTCAACAGTCAAAATGTCACATTGTGTTTGTGTTTTATCTACTGAATGTAGTATGTGTGTGGGTGGTTTACCCAGGAAGATAACAAATCTTTCTGGCTTTCCAAACTGAACTCCCTGCTTATATCTCCCCTCCAGAGTCTTTCTCTTTGAAATCACTCCTCTGCTGCTGATCTCCTCCACCTCCTTTATATCCATTCATCCACTGAGCGCTCTTGCACTGATTCATCCATCCATTTGCTTTCCCCTCAATCCTCTGGCAAAACTGCACTTTGTCTCTCTCATGCAGCTCCGTATCTGTAAACTCTTCATCTCCTCTTGGTCATCTGTCACTCCTCCATGGCAGTATTTAAAAAAAGCTCAGGCGGTCAATCTAAGGTTCCTCTTCCCCCGTGGAAACAGCCAACCGCATGGCCACAGAGAGGTGGTCAGTGAGGCCGGCCAACTGGGTGACGAAACTGAACTCCTCGATGTCCTGCAGGAGGAAGAGAAAAGAACCGTCATCAATATCTCCTTTATTCTGGGGAAATGTAAACGTTGCTCAATGGATTTTGTAGCCAATTGAAGACAACGTAACAAGCTCAAAACTTCTCACATACCATCATGTAAAGTTGTTATAATGAAGGCATAAGCGAACATTTATGGTTTTTGCTTTAGAATATTGATTTTCTCAAATTACACTGAAAAGACAGCTGGTGTTAGCTAGATAGCTAGCTAGCAACGCTCATTAGCAGTACCAAATAGACCGCTTAATTTACCCAATGTTCAATTTACCCTATACAATTTCCAGTGGCTTCTACACACAGGCAGGCAGTAAACATTTATAAAATGAAATAAAATGATTGTAGCGCTTAGATCCAAGGTCAGCTTTTGACATGTAGGCCTACTTGTCATGTGTCTTTGGAAACTCCCCTTAGTACATAGCCATGTTGTGCACAGTGAACACTTGTGTAGCGTTTGAATTTAACCTGGGTAGGGTTTTTCCAACTGCACCCAGCTGCTGTATCCTCACTGGAATGACAATTGTTGCTGTTAGCTTGCTAGTAGCTAGCTAGCAATAATCATACCAGATCATTATAGACTGCTCAATTTAACCGATAAAATGACCAGTGGCATCTTTTTTGACATCAGAATAGTGGTACATTACTTAAATCGTGGAAAGAAACGTACAATTAAAGCTAAGATGGTAGCACATAGCTTATTTACATATATCAACACTAGAATTGTTTTAAACCATAGTGTGCAATGAACAAGCTTAAACTGAAGGTTTTGGAGAGTTAGGGAGAACCGCAGCTTTGAACTCTGCAAATATGTAAGTAAGAGTAACATCTTTCACATTATACATAATAAAGCTGATCCATTAATAATTTAAGAAATATGGCATCCCATTACTTGAATTCCCCCCTTTTTGGAATTCATAGAATATAGACATTGAATACATGTATACAGTAAGTAGCTAGTTGTAAGCAGATACAAGTCTTTACTAATGTTTTTGTCAATAAATAACTCCTCCAGTAAGACACCTTAAAGTGGAGGCTGCCATATACCAGATCATTTATAGTCAAACATAAATCTACATATTTCTTAATAGGTTACATTATTATTATTATTATTATTATTATTATTATTATTATTATTATTATTATTATTATTATTATATATAAATAAAACGGAATAGTATACACTTAAAATGTTCTTATATTCGGTTACAACTAGATATTAGAATCTTAAAATAAACACATGTTAAATGTTTATATATTGCTGTTTTAATGAAGAATGGTTGTAGTTCAACTACTACACTACATGATCAGCAGAATCTGACCACTAATATAATATCACTATTTGTATTAGTATTACTATTTCTATGAATACTAGTTGTGGGCCTTTAATTAAATGTATGTTCTGCTTCTTCTTCTATCATTCATCACACATATTGCCATAATAATTGACATTTTATACTATCTTTTTTGATTGAATGTTTTCAGATCTGTATTAACATCAATGGAATGAGTTTAATCATGTGGCAATACTACAAAGAGTGCTCCGACATAAAATGGGTACACAGAAACAACAATGGTGCAATAACATGTGTGAAGAAACAGGGTTTGAGGTGTAGTTATGAGGAAGGATAACCACATCATATTTGCTGATTTGCTCAGCAGCAGTCAGTGTGAAGTGAAATGATGTCACAGTTACTACGTTGGGGCAGCAGGGGGCATCAGGAGAGCGAGTCACACAGAGGAAGGGAGATGTGCTCTCTGCAAATGATTGCTTTGTTTTTTCATTCCTCTCCAATCCCTCACACAGACAGGCTGCCAGGACAGTGCTGCCCTCTTTCCTCTTCTCTCAACCCTGTGGATGTTTTTCAGTGTCTCTTCTCTAAATGTAATGTCTTTAAATCTTTTTATCCCTTTAACAAGTCCAATGTTCTCCTGCAGAATGAGATCATTTCCCTTGGCTCAGGAAAAAGAAGTGTCTTATTGCCAGGAAATTAATCAGGGCAGAATAAGGCACATCACCTCCCCGCTGACAAGAAAATGATAGGCAATTCAACAGTTTGTGCACTTAGTTTCTGTAAATGGAAACAAACCAATTTCCCCCCTATTAGCAGCCTTATTCAATGGTGAAATTAATTTTGATTCACAGATTTATGTGATGACACATACCAGAATACTCTGGGATGTAAGTTTTTAGTTTTTATTCCAAAAGTTAGATGAGAAGATTTATTACTCATATCTGTATGCTATCTATTAATCCAGTACCATAGTAGATCTGTTTATGAAATAAATAGGGTGCTAGCAAGAAAGCAAATAAGCTAATTTCCCTGGATAAAATATTTGTTATCGTAACTTGAAAGACATAAAACTGGATGTTAAGGAGTTACATTTCTGGTCTTAATTTGATACAATTAATAACGGTAGGCTTGATGTACATTATTTTCCTATAATGCTCTAAACCATACCAGTTTCCAGTCCGGCTGCAGGCCCTCGTCGCTGTACAGCATGTAGTCGATCCGCCGCCCGTTGCCCTTCAGCGGGATCTTCCTCCCCTTCTGACTGCTGGCCGGACACTGGCTCTTACTGGGAGGAAACACCAGGTACTCCTTCCTCCCCTCCTCGTTCTCCATCACTCTGAGACACGAAGGGATGGATCAGCAAATAGATAAGATAACTCGCAGGAGTTGCTGGTAGTAAAACGTAATAACACAACAAATATTACAGAGTTGTGTACTTCACACATTTGGACTGTAGTGTTTAGGTCAGAGATCAGTTTTGGACGAGCATTTCAATTCTGATACTTCCCTTAGTACACTGCCAGGTTGTGCATTGTGAACAAGAATGCAGTGCTTGAATTTCCACTGTGTAGTGTTGCATCAAACCGTACACAGCTGCTGTGCCCTCTCCAGACATGACTCTAGCTAGCGAGCAATGCTTGTTCGCAGTACCAAATCATTACAGATGGCTCAATTAACCATACAGTATAACATTAACGCTGGCGTCTTTACAACAGAAAAAACCCCACATGTATAACTTTTCTTTGTACAGTGTGTGTACAGTGTTCCACACTAAACGTGTTGACTGCTATGAGAACACCATCCGGGTAGGCCTACTCATAGTGCATTTTGCCATATTACACATTGGGACACACTTAAACGCTCAAAATGACACATGCAGGCAGAAGTAGGTGATTTGAGTCACAGCATTAGAGTTCTAATGAAGTTTAATAGTATATTTTTCCTTGCCTTTAGTTCAATTTCTAGTCATAGAGCTGCTGCTTAGTGTACTACTGCCTGTTTTCCTGTTGGGGTACGGAAGGTGTTACATTCTAGTGCTGTCCACCAACATTTTTACAGAATAGTGTAAGGCACTGCAATATGATCCCTTCAATTTCCATTCTGTCAAAAGACAACTCATCATATATCCTGCACTTAAACAGATACACTTTTGACCAACAAGTTAGTCATTTCAGTCAGAGATAACACAATCATCTGAAATAATTAAGCTATAGTTACTCTATTGCACTGCTTTATGTCTTTTTTTGTGTTAAGTATATTGTGTTGTCTTAGGAGCCTGGGTCTTTAATTGTCATTGCCAAAACTACGCTGTAGCTATTGTGCATATGACAAAAAGCATTTGAAAGTTGAATCATTGTTGATGTTAAGTTATAGGTTAGGGAATGAATGAGGGACTACTTTAACTTATTTTTAGAATAACGACTTACGATCTAGTTAAGTTAGATACCTGTCTGTGCATGTAGTGGTTGTGTTCAAGGTTTGTAGGTGTGTGTGTGTTTATGTTTGTGTGTGTGTGACTCACTTTTGTAAACTTTCAGGTGAGCTGACCTCATCGTCATAAAGGCCGCTGGGATCCAGTAGAGTACCTGTTGGAAGAGACAGTTAAATGTATAACTGCGCAGACAGACACATGTTCCTGATTATTTTTCTGACAAGTCCACTCTCCTCTTAACCCCTCATTAAATACCCCCACTAGAGGGTGCCGTGTGGAGGGGATACAATTAATTATCATATTTTCCATTATTATTTTAACAAAGTGTGGATCGTGGATCCGTTTTAGCCCCCTATTGTTGGTTCTGAGCTTCCTTGAGTCCAGTGAACGCACCCTGGGCTGCCCCTGGCCAACTTGTGGCCCCACGCAAAGTTATATGATGAGGCCCTCTGTGTCGCGAGCGTCGACATGCTAGTGGAGCCTCGCAGCAGAGAAAACTGTGGCACGCGTAGGCTGTAGGTGCGCCACATTTGTGCCTCCCTCCGCAAAATGAAGATCCCTCCGCAAGATGAGGCCCCCTCCGCAAGATGAGGCCCCCTCCGTGAGGTGAGGCCCCACGCAGTCTGTGTGATCGGCCTGTAGGGAGGGGCGGCCCTGCACCCTGGAGATAGAAGTGTTTTTTTGGCTGGGTTTTATTTGTTTCTGTGTCATTCATATTGATCTAGTGTATGCTTTACAATCCTCCCCCTCACTATGAGGACCAGCTTCTTCCTTTGTAGCTAAAAGTACCACTAGTGCTTTTCATTGTGGCAAAGAAGGCGTCGTCAGCAGACTTTGTTCTGAGAGCTTAGAGCTCCATCTTTATGGTCCACTCGCCTGTCATCCAGAAATATAGCAGAGAGAAGAGCACTCAGAGATCCTTTTGACAGAGAGGATGTGAGGCTGTGGGCTGGGTAATATGTTTATAATGCCCCGATGAAGAGAACAGCACTCTGAAGTTACAGCAGTCAATTCACAAGTGAGCTCTCATGATGCACAGCCACGACACACTGCTGTACTACTTTCAGCTTCAGGGGGCTAACATATCTACAGGTACTCTGCCCTAAAAGAGTAGTGCAGGAATGAGTCATCAAATCCAAAATTGTGTTTACCACTAGCTGTTCCCTGGACTTGAAGTTACATTTTTTCTGATTGTCTTTTTAGCTAGAAGCCTGAAATAGGATCCGTGGTTGACATAAGCTGAGAAGATTATCACGTTTTGTTCTACGACATAAAATACATCAGTAAATAAATACTCCTCTGGTAAATGTCTGAAGTTTCTATGTGCCTTAAAAACAGCGGTTGCTAACAATTGTCTAAATGAGACCACTGTATGTCATCACGCCAAACATTAGCTGTCCTTAGCATAGCGGTGTTTAAGTAAAGTCATGTGAACCTGTTTTGGTTCCTTTATAGCCTAAAGTTAGCTTACTTCTGCCGTTATTGTCATTTGTGTTTGCCACATATGTTATTTTCTGCCCTTTTCCGAAAAACCCATTGCTTTTGGTCGAGGGAGCCCTTGTGATGCTAACTTCTTGGTCGCCCAGAAAAATACGTCATCACTGCTCCACTCTATAACTTGTGGCCTCACCAAAAAGCTGTAGTATATGTGTGGGGAGCAAATAAATATTGTTTTTTTATGTCAATTTTGACCACAACTCCTAAAGAACATGGAATTGCACAGATACTTTTGTTGGTTTTTTAGTTTACATGTTTAATCTGCAATCAGACATGAAAACACATCACCAAAACAGCTTTGTCAGGAAAAAGATGAGGAAGATGAGAGACTTTTACTCAAACATTTAATTTTCACAACTTCAAACGTGTGAGTTTTACTTCAGTATCCCCACTTTTAACCATTGAGTGGTCGGAGGCATGCATGCCATCATTCCAAGGGGATTTGAATGCAGCATCATTTTCGTATTTATTTGGCTGGGTGGTCAGAATTAGAAGGTTCCAGCAGTTCTCAGAGTTTATGAAATCTATGGACACCATCAGAACAACATGCTCTCTGTGTCCCTTTTTGAAGCTTTATGAAATCTGATAAGCTTTCTCCCATTTATTTCATTGGTTCACTGATCCGCACTTCGTCTCCTCCCTCTTTCTTCCTCTCTTGTCTAATAGCAGCCAAACGGGAGGCTCAGATCTATTCCTCTGGCTCGCTGCGCAAAATGTCCCTGTCCAAATAAATAAGCCTTTCTCTAAACGAGCCCTTTCACTCTGTCCTGCCCACACTGTCCCAGAAATACCGCTGGCCTAAATAACATTTTGCATCCAGACCAAAACCCTCCAGTGTTTACGTCACTAAGGCCATGTGTCAGCACGCAGCATTTATATTCCCACAGTAGGTGCAACCTGATTTAGATCAATCTGTGTGTATGGATCAACACACTGATGTGTGTGTGTAGCAGGACCTCCCTTTTATTGTGTAACATTAAATCCTGTTTTGAGGATTAGTTTGGGGTATTTAGGTCTTTTTTATCTGTGAATGCATACATGTGTTAGATAGATTAGAAATACAGTACATGTGATGGCGTCCCAGATCTAATGTGTGTGTGTGTGTGGCGTGTGGAGGGGATACAATTAATTCTTATACTTTACCTTATTATTTTTAAACACAGTGTGGATTGTGTATCAGTTTTAGACCCCTATTGCTTGGTTCTGAGGTGTGTGTGTGTGTGTGTGTGTGTGTGTGTGTGTGTGTGTGTGTGTTTGTGTGTGTGTATGTGTGAGTGTGGTTACCCAGAGCCCATGGTTTGTCCTCCCCCGGCCCCAGGCGACAGGGATCCTTGTATTGAGTAAAAAGTGCATGCTGCTGCTCCAGCTTGTCCTCTGGAAAACACCGGAGCACAGGCAGAGATTAATTTAGACTTCAGTCCAAACACAAGAGTAATAACAGCAGAAANCGTTTCTTTAAAACCTTATTAGAACCAATAGGTAACATTAGCCAAAGTTGTGAGAACGTTCCCCGCTAGCTGGGATTGCATCGATGAGCAAGGGGTTATTATGAGTCAGAGTAGGAGTGTCACTTAATTAATGGCTAAGCGGCTTCACAACTTAAAACAGCTTTGTAGCTGTACTCCCTGAATTGCCGCCGGTTCAACCAGTCTCACGGCATTTTGTGTTATAGTCACGACATTTAATCTATTGATTCGTGTTCACCAACACGATTTTCCCCTTTTTTTCGTGTCACACGGAACGATTTTAAAAGCAATGTATTTCTATTGGTAGTATGTTTCGTGCATGCAACGCGTCTTTTTGTCCGGTCGGGTCTTGGAAGACCGGAAGCTGTGAGGGCTCAGAGCCTCAGAATACTGAAATCTGTATTTTTATAATATTTTGTTCCTTCTAATTTGTTATTCTTTTCTAAATAACACACTTATTTACTCAACAATAACACACAATTATACTTGTTTTTATTTATTTGTTTAATTCTATAATCTCAGTTTTTTTTGGCGTCCGTCAGGAACTGGATTTCGAAATAAAATAACCGGAAACAGACACACACCCACTGAACTGATTACCCAAGATCCTCAGCTTTGGTTTAAGCTTGGTGATTGGATTGTTTAGCCGCAATGCACGTTGGGATATGGTGTTTATGCGATATGAAATCTGAAAAACATTTTTAAATAAAATAAAACTTTATTCCGAGTGTGCTTGCTTTTCTCTTTGAAAGTCATCACATAACGGCATTGTAATACACGGTTCAGCTGCATTACATATTACACATCTGCCATAGTTCTTTATTTATAGAACCCTGATTAGTAGACCTTTGGACAAACTGGAAGAACTGCCAGCGAAACTGAATATGATCATAAATATATCAGCAATCAAACAACATCTTCAATTTCTCTTCACACACGACGTCTCCTCGCAGTATCAACATTAATTCGGCTGACTTTTATATTTTATCTAATTGATAGATAGGTTATATTTACACCATAACGGTGCACAGCTGATAGAAAGCTGATTTTCTTTGAATTAAAGAATGTAAATACTGAGTTGAGAGAATAGTCAGGGGTTTTGGGTGATGGGAGACACATCTATAGAATCAGAATTTCAATAGCTTACCATTAAATGACGGATATACCTTTCTGTCTGTGATGTTTTACAAATCAGATATAGAAGTAAAACATGTGAAAAAATATAGCAATATCCTGTAAAATTATGTGAAAACATGAATACAACTACACATCTTCAGATGTTATACATACATAAGTGTCCTACACTAATAATAGTTATTATTAGTATGCTGTGTGTACCTTGTGTGCACCTCCTAGTGGTTAAAGCACGTTATTGAATAATTTGTTTATGTTATATTTGATGAAAAAAATACGAAGAGTACATACATAGGGGGAAAGTAGAAGGTCAATGATAGAAATATAGAATATAAAAAATCAAGAAGATACTGTAAGTGATCTCTACAATAAAACAGTTTAGTGCCGGATGTACAAAGATATTAATAGGAGGATGTGCAAAACAGAAAAACTAATTAACCTTTATTTAAACATTAAGGAATACTTTAGATTATGGNGGGGGGGGGCGCAACTTCCAACAGGAGTCATTTGGGTGGCCCTTGGGAAAAAAGGTTGGGAAACCCTGTGCTAAGGGACACATTTCAATTGAGACCAAGCATCAGTAGCTCTAAATTAGATATCACCTAAAACCCTTCACATCTTTCTGCGGTCCAAGACTGACATATTCAATTTATATTAGTGCATCAGGGCTAGTGTCTACATAGAGCCTTTTGCCGAGCGCCAGAATCTTTTTTCAACTGATTCCAATGAGAACAGTTAAACATACGCTTTGCATGTTGGTGTTACTTGCTGGATTGGTAGCCTACCTATTACTCAGACAAAACAATCAGAATAATGATAATTAATCTAATTTGGTTGAGCTGATCAGCTGGTCAACTCTGGATGCTGCGGCTAGAGAGTGTTGTACTTTTTTCTACGTACGCAGATCATCTTCCTCACTCTGTCCAACAGAGCAGTGAAGCTCATCCATATCAAATGTGAGAGCAAGAATCTCCTGGTCGAGTAAACTTTACTTTTTAGTTTCCCCAGCTAACTAAAAGGTGTGATGTTGTTTGGAACCACAGACAAAGCCACTTATTCAGTGTTGTCTTGTTAACAATGTGGACCAGCACGGCTCCCTCTCCAGATATACAGTAAACAAGCTTGTTGGAAGAACTGTTGTCCTCCTCTCTGTCAGAGTTATTGGATATTATTTTCTCTAGCTGAAAAGTCACTTACGTAAGCTGATGAAATCGCAAAATCTTGGAGCAGAGCTCTTTCTGTTTGAGTTACAGAGGAATTTAAACACATGAGTAAACGTGCTATCCAAACAAGTCCAAAGCACATATTTGGGCAGGCTTTCTGCGTTAGCTAACATAAGTGATGCAAACAAAGCCAAAGCATTTCACAAGTTTATTTGTCAGTTATCAACCGCAGAAAACTTTGAATGTTCACATTTGTGGGGAACCAAGCAACTATAGTATTTATGAACACGTAATAGCAAGGAACAAAAGCAAGCAACTGCACGAACAATGACCTCAGCTACATGAATGGGTCTGTCCACAGCTCACACTGTGTACCTATAAATCCCATTGTACTGTGTTTCTCACCTATGCTACAGTAACGTGCCATGGTATACAGGATATTCTTTTCACCATGTCCGTACATTAGTGACAGCAGCTTCGTATTAGGAAACAAAAGCCTGCTTTGCATTAGCTGATACTTAAATAGACCACTATATCATGCATTGTCTTGGTATGAAGCCTAAAACACCTTCAGCACTGAAATAGACCTCAATAGATTGATAGTAAACATCTATCTATCTATCTATATCTATTCAGGCCTGTTTCAGTGCTGGAGGTGTTTTAGGCTTCACATTTGAAATCTCCACATCAGAACGCATTTTACATCCGAGTGAAAAGACTGTAAATATGAGAGAGCTGCGATCATGTTTACTGCTGAGCTTAATTCGTCTGTGCAAATTGTTGCGTGACTGTTTACTTCACAACAATTTCCTCACAGACTCATTCACGCTGCGTGAACATTGTCATCCCCTGTTAAGACTTCATATTCCAGACAAGTCGTACAAATATTTCTTGAATTTCACAGAGCCCTATCTGACAATTCACAAGCAACTGACAATGAAGCCAAAATGCACCTTTGCAAAATGATATTGCTCCATCAGTACATTATAAAACACTCTCTCCAAATGGCACACTAAATGCATGTATTTATTTGAATGGAGAGTGACATACACAAAGAGCCTTGAAATTGAAGATTTCCCATTAGCTTCAACTATAATAATCACCAGGACATTTTAGTTTGTACTTGCTTCCTGAGTTCATTCCGCTGCGGTGAACCAAGACGAGAAAGTAAATTACCAACGCTGCCAGAGGAAATAGGAAATGAACATAAAAATATTAGTCCACATGATTTCCCCCTAAAACAAAATCACGGTAATTGAAATGGAAAAATTCGGTGTATTGCTTTTATCAGGAAATTATCAAAGGAAAAATGGCTAAAGGGTTTGTCCTGCTGTCGTAGTCAGATCAGAATTGAAGGTAAAGCTAGAGCTTAAATTACCTGAAAGTGCTGGAAATAATTGAATTAAGCAGAAGTGTTTGAATTAGAGCATCAACAGTCTTTCACATCTGTCTCTGATCTGTACACTAATGACTAGATTGTTGATATAGGGTAAGATTGGATCTGATTTAAACCTAGACGTACCATTGAAATAAATGCATTCTTATGTGTGGACTAAGTAGCACTAAATAACTTGTGTTGCCAGACCGAATGTCAACGATCTGCATAGCAAACATAACACAAGGTGATGACACAACCTGAATGTCCCTGAATAAGTATTTTCAGTGAAATATATTATGTAAATAATGTTTTCTCGCCTTTAATGCAACACGTTATAGTAAAAATGTTATTGCCACAATTGGAAAACAGGCATAATGTGCTTTTGTGCAAAACCGATTTCAGGGCACGTCCGATGGATAAAGCCAAACTGAACAATACAAATCTACCTCCTATTACTGGCTGCTTCTCATTGTTCACATAAAAGGAAAGTGGATAATGACAAAAAAAAAGACTTTCAACAGGTACCACTTAGTTTCATTTGTTTGACCAAAGAGCTGTTAATACGATTGTAACATGAATATCAGTGTGTTGTACTGATTGTAAATTAACTGCGAACAATAGCAGCTAAATAGCTAATACTGAGCATTAAATGGAGGATTTTGTACCTGACACAGGTAATGTATTTAAAACCTCTTTTCACGATTAATAGAATAAGTTTAACCCCACTGTGCAGGAGCTGTTCATTGGTGCTGATGTATATGCAACCCAGTCTCACAGCATTTCGTGTTATAGTCACGTAATAAATGTAATCTATTGATTCGTGTTCACCAACACGAATTTTCCCCTTTTTTTCGTGTCACACAGAACGATTTTAAAAGCAATGTATTTCTATTGGTAGTGTGTTTCGTGCCTGCACCACGTCTTTTAGTCCGGTCGGGTCTTGGAAGAACGGAAGCTGTGGGGTTCATAAAAACATTTTCTTACTCAATATCAAGCCACGATTATTGTTTTTATTTTTAATTGTATAATGTCGGACTTTTTTTGCCGTCCATGAGGAAAAGAAATGGGGCTCAGAGCCTCAGAAGACTGAAATCTGTATTCTTTAAATCTTTTTTTACTTCCAATTTGTTATTATTTGGTGCAGGCACGAAACATACTACCAATATA